TTTATAATTCGTGTTTTAATGTAATTTTATTTCTGTAATTTTTATTTGAGTTCTGAGGATGATCGCTAGGCGAACGAAACGATCTTTTGCAAAGTATATTTTTTGATACCAGACAACATCTTTAAGTTACCGCATTTAAAGATGGTAAGAATTTGAAGGCATAAGCCGAATTATACTGTACAACAGAACAAGAGATTTCACTGTACAATGACAATTTGCTGCTGTCAGAATGGTTTGGAAACTTTTCCCCAACAATTGGAAATGTATATTTCGTGGACCATTCCTATAAAAGAAGATAGATCTTCAACATTTTCGAGACTTGTTCCTTCATTTAACACACGTATAAGAACAAAAATACTTACTGTACTGGAATTACTTACTGTATAAAAATAAAAATGTTTCAATTTTTCACCATACAAAATATTTATTAATGTCGTTTAATATTTAATGATATTGACAATGTTCCACCAATCATAGCATAAGTGATAATTTTTCTTTTCAGAATAATTTACAAAAATTGAAAGCATTTACACGCCAGTCAATAGATTAGTATTACACTTATGCAACTCAGAGGCGTTTAAAAGGGTATATGCATCGGAGGGTTAGAGAAGGTGTCGGCCACAATTATAATCCGCTGCTTTGTACGAGGTTGGTTGCAGTAAGAGGTTCGATCGCGACGATAACAACGGGCATTGCACAAGACCGGAAACGCCTCGACAGAAGGAGAGGGGCTAGGAGAGAGCAGCGCCGTGGCAGAGTAATTACGGCTGGGAGAGCAATTAGTTGTTGGAGGGAGCCGAGTCCTAGAGGAGAGATGGGCTGTGGGAGAGGAGGATGGGCGCTGGCCCTGTGCCTGGCGTTGGCCCTGTGGGCTGAAGGGCCGAGGGCGCAGGGCGCGTGCTCGGAGGGTGCGCCGCCCGCCGACGGGCTGCGCTGGGCGCTGGCGGGCGTGGGCGCGGGCGCGGGCGGGGCGGTGGGCGTGGTGGACCTGGGCGACGGCCCGCGCTGGCTGCCCGCCCTCCACGCGCGCGCCGCGGCGCCGCTGCTGCTGTGGCGTGCGTCTCAACTGCCGACCGTGGGTTCTGCGCCGCAGTGGCTGGAAGGCGCCCGGGGCTACGTGCTGGCGGCCAGCAACTCTTACCGCCTGCTCTTCTTTCTCTTTAAAGACACCTCGAAAGCCGTTCCTGACAAGGTGTATGCGGTAAGGCCACCAGCCTCTGCTCTTTCAAAATTCTCCACTGGAACCTGAAACTGTATATTGAAAATTAATGCAAGGAAGCCCGTTTACCAGTTTGAATTTTAGCGTTGCCCTGTAAATTTCAATCAATACTTCTGGCTAAGAACAATATATCTTTGATAACATATGTGATTTCTTTAAATTTTCAGCATATTACAGGAGATACGCATCGAAATATGCAGCTTAATTCAGCTGTGCCTATTGTAATGTCAATTCGAAGGAATACATTGCAGAAAAACGGCAGTGAACAGAATATTGGGTCACTAGGTTATAGAACTAATCGTAGTGCACGTCATATTTCGGAATTTGAGGCTTTTTCTCCCTACTCTAATCCTTTGTATCTTAAAACTAATCGGTTTAACAGAGGATTTGTAGATCCATGGGTACAGTTGACGGAAACAATGACACTGATCCAAAGGAAGAACGAAACGTTGAATCTCAATGAGACATACAGCGGCCATTGGCCTGAGGATGAGCTGGGTCGATGGGCCTCCCAGCAAGTCGCTTTGGAAGAGGGGATGGGCACTGAGCAGCTGCAACTGTGCCGCGTGGAGGGACTGGCGCCAGAGCGGGAGGGGGTGGGCACCGAGCAGCTGCGCCTCATGGTGCGAGCGGTGCCAGAGGGGGAGGGGAGGGGGCGCAGAGAATCTCAGCGCCAGAGGATTGAACGGAAGCGCGACCTTCAGGAAGACTTGGAAGCGTTGAGACTCTTGAGGGTGAGCCACCAGTCCTTCCGCGGAGTGGTGCTGCGGGAAGATGGCGACGGAATCACTTGGCGAGCGATTGCAAACGACCCAGCAACTGGGAGGTGAGAAATGTCATCTACTTACCGTTCAAAATACCATTCAAAATATAACTTTCATACATTTGCGATTCAAGTATATAATTTGCCTCTCTTTATTCGGAATTCCATAACTGCAAGTTTTTTTCAGATTGTGGTTCACGTTTCAGTTATTTTTTGAAAGTTTAGAAATGTAAATCCAAAAATGGCATAGTGCATGTTAATTAAATACGTTCAGAAAAGCATATACAGTAAAATCTGTCTAATTAATCTAATCGACCGGGACCAAAAATATCCGATTTAGGGAGGATTCCGTTTCATGCAGGGTTGCCTATTTTATGACACTTTTGATATTATGTCTTTATTGACATTATTATAATTATGATAATGCACTAACGTATAACGTATTTACGGAAAAAATCACAAATATTTAACATATTTCTTAAAATTAAAAGAAAAAATTCAGAATTAGTTTTAAGTTTTTTTCCCAACCATTGTTAAACTAGTTGTGAAACTTATAAAAACGCACTACCTCACTGCT